AGGAATGAGAGATGGAAAGTGAGCGAGATTTTTTTCCAACGCTTCTATCAAAATTTCCATACTTTTCTGCTGCTTGTTTAAAAATAATCCAAGAGATAAAGACCTGACATGCTTCCATACGAAAGATTGAGCAACAGTGCAAAACAAAATATCATAACTACAGGTTTTTCAGGATTAGAAAGTGATAGTTGGAGCTATGTTGGTAGTGGGAAATAAGGACTTGGCAAGAAGGACCCAGCCTCCAGTGTCTAACACAAGATGATTATTTGCTGCTGCCGCCATTTCCCTCTCCCATCACCACCCTCCTTGCAACACGTTCTTTCCTTCACCTCCCTGTGCCTTGCCCCTTCCTTCCACCAGTATTCACACCAACCTGATACAGGGATTGTTTTCCTTGTTAACTGATACCACTGTACAGAGTCCTATTATTTTCAGAACATCTGCTTTTCAGATGAAAAGATCTCAGAGGCACAGCAGCACTAGTGAACAATCCTGAAGAAGTTTTTAACAAAATTTGAAATTGCTTAACCAAAAAAATCCACTCCCCTTTCTGCTGTTCTGCAACATACAGTCTCTTCACTCAAAGAGGAGAGGACATTAAGAAGTAAGAGAGCTTCTTATTATAGCTCTCTGATTTGGGCCTTTTATCTTCAGTTCTGTTCCTATCCACTTCTCCCACCCCTGAGAAATGGAAGTTTAATTAAAACATCACAAAGATGCAAAGGAAATTAACTAGGAAACCAGTAGAAAATAAATTTCAAAGTTTAATTTTCCAGCACATGTTTTTACTTTCAACAGGTTTCAAAGAAGTCAAAACAAACAAACAAACAAACAAACAAACGAGACTTTATATAATATAATATATATTGGCCAGCACAGGACAACTATGAGAATACAGTTGTCAGGGAAATTTGTTGCCTGTCCTAGTGTCTAGATTTAAAGCAGCTCTGTAACACAAACTGAAAGGGAATTCAATTAAGAAAACCCATTGGCTCCTTATTGACTTTAGTTAAGAAAATAAACTGGGTAAAAGTATATTAAAATATGTCTGGACTGCTTAGTATCTTTCATTTAAGTTTATGACAATCAAAATGAGAGAATTTAAATTCTTCACAATTAAACTCTGCTTTCTAGCAGATTGGATTCTCTGGGTTATTAAACTGTGCATTTTTTAATGTACACCCTGCTCACAAACACCCCAAAATGCAGTCTTGCAGTGAATCTGTGCATTGTAAAGCAGGAGCACCACAGAGCAATTGGAGAAGAAAACGTATTGAAGGTTGTGAGTTTAATTTCATTCCAGGATTTTCATTTTCATTTATGGCACCCGTTGTGTTTGAGACCACGGACTAATTTATGGATTAGTTCTAAACCCCCAGTCTGTCATACTCAACGAACAATTCTAAGTTGGAGCGAATCCATATGGAAGGATTAGAATGTGCCACAGTGGAGCTCACACATGACTGTTTCAACTAAATATTGCCCAGCTGCCTCTCAGGCAGCCATTTGTTTTCTCTACTTGGGTAAATGGCTAATATCTCTAATCTCACACATTGTTAGGGCCTTTTCATTGTGTAAATATCATATACTACAACTTGAAATGTAGTTGAAGTTTATTTATTCAAGATAGGATCCCATAAACTGTATGTCTGGGAGACTAAGAAGAAAAGTCAATATTTAGTGAACTGCACATCTTTCCAAAAGCAATGTGGGGGGTCCACCCTAGGATACCTTGTTTGATTACACTCACAAAACAGCTAGAGAGAGTAACTTAAAATACTAAAGGGGATAAATGGTAATGAAAAATTAAATTTAAAATATGCATACCAAAAAAAAAAAATGTACACACCTACCGGGTCTCCAAGAACATGGGATTATTTTGTGTTGACCATCTAAAATAAATGTACAATAAACTTACCCTATTGCAACTAAAATTAAAACAAAGACAATAGCTTGATGAAGCCTTTTTAATTTCTAACTCTGCACCATCATAAGTCCAGCTTAGTTTTCTATGACCTATTTTTCTCATAGGCCTAGCTCAAAGACGATTCATTAAAGACAGCAACAAAATGTTAGAAAAAGCCTTTGTTAGGGCAATTAGACACTCTCATTTTTCAGCATTTATAATTTATATGGTAAACTTACTATCTGCATGCTGCCTGTTGTACACTTAGAATGTTATCAAACAATGTAGTGACCCCACAAGTTGATTCACAGGGGTGGGCCTGCACATCTCAGCAGTTTTCTGATTGAGATAACCCTTATCAACCCAGCTTCAGAGTCGCACTAAACTCAGAGCCAGGGTGTCTGTGGTTTCTGCAGGAAGTCATAAGGCAATTTTAAAGGAGAATACGATTCTGTAACAGTACTCTCCTGTGAGGAGCACAAAGTCACTTCTAAAGAATTATTTTTAAATTCTTTACTTGAAATAGCCTCTGTTCAGATAGCATACCAGATGCTCTTAGGTTTAGAACTGGAATCAATGACTCCCCGGATACACCCTCAGTCTTGTCCTAAACTTTGTAGCCAACCTGTGTCTCTGCTGCAGGCTTCTGCTCCATTGCTGATCATGGTTTTGCCATTACCAGCTGCAGTAACTGTATTGTTTGACTTGAATGTGTTTGCCTTGAACTGTTTTAGAATGTGTCTTTTTTTCCTCAACATCCCTTTCTCTTCCTCTTTTGGGTGCAATTGATGGATTTCCTGTCCCCAGAATGGGGTAGCAAGCTACGCTGTGGGCTTCCCTTTGTTTATTTTCTAGTACCCACCTGGAAGCTGATGTCTGGCTTCACTTAGTTTCATTTCAACATAAAGCTGACATAATGGTGTGATGTGGGAAGACAGTAAATCGGGGAGTCACTGGTTAATGCTAAGCTATTGTTTTTGACAACTCTAACCTTTAGATTTTACCCTACCTCCTTTCTTTCATTTTATACTAATGATTTACCTGGTGAAAATAAAGCATGTTAGAAATGCTACTGCAAAAATAATGAACCAAAGTGTTTGTTGCCTTTTTTTTTTTCACATCTTGGAAAGGAGCCAGTGCTTAGCTACAAAATGTACTACCATGTATATGTGTTTCTCTGCAAATGTGCATTTGATTTCGCCCTTCAAATTGGAAGCACCTCAAACCAAAACTTGACTTGGATATTTCCAGTAAGGAGATGTATCAGCTGTGTCATGAGAATCTCATAGAGATGTTTAAACTGTACAATTTTAGGTGTTTTTTTTTTTACTGTTATTTTATGCATACAGACTTGACTTGTAAGTATCATGTTCTTAAATGGTGTATTTTATGCTTTCCTTTATCTTGTTCTTCAAAAACCCAGTTAAAAGTTATTTGAGCTACAGTAGCCTGAGAGCCCACTTCTGGTTAATTCTCACTCCTTAGAAGGGCTCTAAATTTTTTATGGTATAGAGTACTGAGGACAGTATGCCAACTGAAGGGGAACACCAGTGTGGATTCACGTGTCATTTATAAATGAGAAGCATCAGGCTCATTTGACCAAAAAAAAAAAGTTATGTTTCGCATTCCAATGCATTTAAACATTGCCTATGTTGAGTTGGTAAGTCTTTTGAAATCTCCAAAACTCATGAAAATAATTACCAGCTAAATATCTGCATTATAAAAAAAGGACAGGTAACTACTCGCAGTTTTAACCCTGACTCCCACCTCAGCTATACAGATGACTTGCTCTTGTGCCCATGTCACCACTCCTTCCTGGCCAGAGGGGACAGTGGGAGGCAACATCCTAGAGAAGTGGAGAACTGGAAATTAAAGTGTCCAGACGGCTTGACGTCAGTGTGAAGTTGGCTAGAGGAGTGGTGTTAAAATGACTCTGGACAAAGAATGTGATTGTGCATTTTGTTAGATATTTACTCCACTTCCCCTCTAGCCAAAAATAAAGAGAAAGTTTATTGAGCCCCTTGAGGAATTTCCTGTGAAGAAGAGCCAGTAAAGCAGGCCTGGTTTTGAAACCTGGTAGAAGACGGAAAAAACTTGAACAGCATTGGAACTAGAAGAAAAAGAGACAAACCACATTTTATTCCACAGCACGTGTATTTGGCAGTGAGAAAAAACATGTGCTATCTCCTAATGCAGCATGAAGGCAGGACTCCTGGCAGCTCTCAGCAGTGAATGTGGTTCTGAACTGAGCAAAGAGTTAGTTGAAGACTTTAATTTTTGAAGAGTCACATGATTAGAAGTTGCATTTGGCAAATTGTGTTGACTTGGGTGTGTTTCCATGACAGACTCCTGCTTTTAGATTGTGACATAGTAAGATCTGCAGAGTGAAGAATGGATTATTGGGGGTGGGGAGGAGGGGTAGGGGAGGTTTATTTGTATAGAAAGTAATCTGAAAACCTTTAACATGTTCATTCCCATGGCCTCCTGGTTCATTAAACTTTCCAGCCGAACTCTGCTGAAACAACACCCTGGATGGAAAATTCGAACCCATGTATTTGTCTACAGGCATTTGAGCATAAGCCATAAAAGGATCCAAAAAATGCAGTTGATTCACTGAAGCCTAATTGGCAGTCATGACTCTGAGTGCCCAGGTGGGCGGGGTTAAAACAAAGGCAATGTTTGAATGTATGAATCCATTGTTTAGCCAGCTTCCAAGTGAGCTTTTGTGTCACAGTCCTGAGCCTTGATGCATTAAGAGGCATCTACCAGTCACTGACTTTGCACTGGTGTTTCTCATCACTTTGCATGTTTCCCTGACTATTGACCAGCAAGGAGTTGTGTCCTGGCAAGACCCCCAGAACCAAGGAATTTACTGTTTTCCTCACTGGCTCGCAGCTTTGAGCTGAAGGCATGTCTTAAAACAGTGCAACTCACTTCAAATGCTTTTTGCTTTTCATTTATTATTGCTTGTCACGCAATGTTCTTTGAAAGCTTGCTCATATATTATCTGTTCCATTTTTTTCCATTTTCCCTTTTTTTGCATGCCGTTCCTCCTGTTTCTTCCCTTCCTTCAATCCTCTGTTCCCGTCTGTAGACACAACGGCGACGACAGAACCAGCAGTTCACGGTTGGTATCACATTACTGTTTATCTACTTTCTCAGCATTGCTGAGAGGCAAGGCAAGCCTGGGAAAAAGAGAAATGTAGTCTTCAAGGGCAATCGTGTTTCAAGTAGACTGATCTCATAAACATACTATAATTTTTAAAGGCTTGAAAGATGTTGAGTCTTGTCATTTCTGTTGTAAGTTCAATAGCCAATGGTTGCAACCTGAAGTAAGGCCTCCTCCTCACTGGCTGGCTGGAATGGCAGCAGTTTCAGGTGCATGTAATCCTTAGTTATATAACCCCTCCAGACACTGAAATACAAGGGACTTAAAAAAAAAAACCTAAAATTAGCCTAGAAATTGTAGCATCTGAATTAAAGGTCCAGTTGCTTTCTTTACTTATAGGCTAGAGTCTGAGGTACTTTTTGAAGAGGAGTTATTTGTGTCATTTGGTAGTTGAGACTGAAGGTCAGGGTGGAAGAGTCCTGTTAAATTCAAGAGGTTGTGATGAGGAAGATCGTTGTTCCTCCTTTAATTATGCCCCTAACTGTTTACCTCCACAGGTAGGTAAAGCACCCTTTCTAGTTCACCCTTAATCTCTCCACAGGTAAACACCCTTTCTGGTTCACCTTAATCTCTATGTATGCATAAAAGTTTATGCTAACATTTGGCAGGAAACATCTCCAAACCAAGAATGACACGATATGTATAATTTAACATCATAAACTGGGAGTTTAAAAAAAAAATCATTTGTGTGTGGATATCTTGTAGGAAAAATATTAAAAAGTTAGTTAAGAATTTAACCAAAAGGGGATAAAAACAGAGTAAAGCTCAGGATGGGGCATGGGGAAATCACTTCCCCAATTCCACCACTGACCTTCTAGGTTGGAATAAGTCTATTAACTTTTTATGTCTCTCCAATCAGAAAATTAGGATCATGTTTCATCTGTAGATTATGTTATTACTTAGATCAAATCATGCTTATATCATGCTCAGAGACAGATATATTAGTTTAAAAAGGGGGGGGGGGGTGCTGAATTTTAATCATTGAATCCAAGGGAATTATTGAGTAAAAGCCCTGCTTAAATCACTTTGCATGTTGTGCAGGGTGGAAATCTATCATTTAAATGACAAGAAGTGATCAGCCAGCCCTCTACTGTTCATTCAACTTTTAGAGAAACATCTCTTCGTAGCACAGACTGGCTTCCTTATATAGGCCTACATTTGAGGACTTATCCATTGGAAACCTCTAAGCAAAACCTGTCCCATTTGAGCTGGCCTTAAAGGTCAGGCCTTGATGCTTGGCCGATCACCCCCACATTTGGACTTGGTGATGAGGAATTCTGAGAAAGCCAAACAGACTCTGGTATGGAGCAATATAGGCCCTCCCCACCCCATCCCTAGCTCGCCCTGCTCTTTCCTGCCATTTGCACAAAGGGAAAAGTTCATAAAATAAGTTAAAGGGCCAAATACACTGACAATCATGAGAAATCAATTAGGTATAAAACTTCCACTTTCTAAGGTTAATGCCCCATAGTACTTGTTACATCTCAGGCATTGCACTCCATTAAGCTTAGTTATTTGTAGGTTTCATCATTAATTGAGGACTTCCTGACTTTTATCGATTATTCTCAGAGCTTTAAGGCTATTTTAATGTAGTTCAAGAGATTTTGTTCTATTCTTTTTAAGATGCTTTAAGTTCTGAGCTTCCTATAATTAACTTCAGGGTAAAATGTAGCCATAAGATTCCTGAATTCTGTGAGATCTTAGAAGAAATATTGATCATCTATCTCCTAAGACTCCAGAGTTCTATTTTCTAGGTCCCTTCAATAAAATCCATGTACTTATGTGACTGTAATGGGGGTAGGCCTTGGAGTTGGATAGGTGTTCAAAGTAAGAAATATGTCCCCTGACCTGAAAAATGAGAAGTTTACTTTGGGGCCAATTCTGATTTTAGGACCCTGTTTTCCATCAGGTCTTTCTCTGTGGAGAGAGAGAGAGAGTGAAGGTGATCTCCTTGTGTGGCATAATAAAGAGACACTTGGACTAGGATTTTGTAACATTGCTCTTGGCAGGAAACAGATGTCTGGGTACTGTGAGCAGCAACCACTGTCTTCTTAGTTAAGGGACAGTGTTTAAACCGCTGATACCTCAGGAGGATGTTATTGACCAACATTGCCTGAGGACTACAGAGCCAAGAAACTTGGGAAGAAAAAAGAAAGAGAGAGAGAGAGAGAGTGTGTGTGTGTATGTGTGTGTGTTCATAATAATATATTTTACCCATACATATGATTCCTTAACAGCAGGAGGAGAGAAGTGATAACCGATGTTGATCCCTGTATGACACATTTATGAATACATTCTCCAACTTGTCTAAAATCTTCATAGCTATCCTCACAAAGGGGTCCAACTATTATTTTGAACAGCATACTTTCCAGCCCACAGCAAAGAGCTTTAAAGAGAGCCAAACTAATATTTAGAATTTTCCTTAACAGAGGGGTAAAAGTCTTCCAGGTCAGTTGTCAGGAGAGAAACGGTAGTAGGAATATAGTAGAAATTACAAAGCAGGGACCAGATTTTCAGAGAAAACACAAGTAGGGAACTGATCTTACTTGAATGGGTTATGGCTAAAACCCAGCTTCCTTGGTGCAGCAACCATTTGACTTAAATTCACTTGCGAGTAATCTTGCGATGTTCACTATGGAGATCTGGGCCTTAAAACGTGTGCTTTGATAACTTGGCAACATAAATGACAAGACATGTTAGGCCATCCAGTTGTGACCATTTTACTTGTCTTTATACTGAATTTCCTTCTGTATTCCTCTTTTATAAAAAGGAAAAAAATTTACAGAAAGCTTTTCCCTTTGAAGACTCATTAAAGTATTTTATTCAAGCTTGTGTTGCTAGAGAATGTATGAAGTATACCAGTTGTTTATGTATGTTGACCATTTGTTCTTACCAATATCTGATTGGAATAATAAGCATGTATTGGGAGGTTAGAAGTGCATGGGCATGAATCAAAATCAAATGGATTTTCTCCAAAAAGAAAGCAAATGATAATCAACCACCATGTGTTTTTAAGGATCTAATTGATAGTAAAGATAAATATGAGTGTAAGAATGGAATTTTTAGACTAGGGAACTGAAGGGATCTTCTTTGAATAAGGATCTTGAGCATTTGTATTTTTGGAGCTCATCCTTAAGGCCTGGTCAGGAAGAATCCTGTGTTACATGTGCATGTGGAGCAATGCAAAAAACACTCTGCCAAATCCTGGTATTACCTGGTCTAAAGTTGATGGCAGAGATGCATGAGTGACTTAAGCATGGGTGGTATAGTTGTTATTACAGTTATTGATGTGTGGGTGTGTGTGATAGTTTTTATTTGTTTGTTCCAACGTAGATGCTTCTCTTGTGTCTTGTGCCTTGTTCCTTTTCTGCCCTGTGTGTCCCCTCTCCCACTCTCCCACCCCCCACCCACCTCCCCTGGGCGAGGTTTTGGGTGACAGCATGTCCATGGTCTGGAATAGTGCTTGTGCTTTTGCTGCACTGCAGTCAGCTGGCTTCCTCTGGGTTAGAGAGCTTTCTCTCTCTCTCTCTCTCTCTCTCTCTCTCTCTCTCTCTCTTTCTTTCTCTCTCTCTCTCCCCCCCTTCCCTTTCTTCCCCCTCCCTCCCACCATCTCTCCGTTTCTTTCTCCTTCCCTCCCTCCCCCCTCTCCCATTTTATTATTTTTAAATCTAACTGTCCTTTTACTTTCTACCTCTTTATACATTAGATGCTGATGATCTTATAAATGTAGATCTCCCAAGTGAGTTTTTAAATAGTTTTTAATTCAGTTTGTAATTGTGGTGAGACTCAAACTTGGAACCCCTCTGAAATAATTTTTCACTTTTGGTTTCAAAATGTTTATACCCTAGTCCACTGCCCTTAGGTAACTACCCTATGATTCTCCCTTTCCCTGAGTTATTTAAAAAGTAGTACGAGTCATGACAGAATTATAAAAGCACATGAAATTCTTATCTTACTTTCTGTTCGATTGGGAAATTCTGAAGCCCGTTTTAAAGAAAAATAGCCAGCAGTGCGCATTATTACAACCTCTATGTCCACCATCTGTGTATGTACCTCTATGCACATCTCTCTATGAGTACACAACAGTGGCATTCAAAGGCCGTCATTCAGTCAAGGGACTGCAGGCATTGGATGTCCTACTCCAGCATAAAGCTACAGAGGGTTACGAATGGCTGCAGGACCTGAAGATTGCGTTTCAGCCTTGATATGCAGTTTGGAAACAATGTGCTACTGTTTAACTGCGTGAACCAAATTTCTGCTAATGGGAAGAAGGGAAAACCTCCACAAAAGCTGACAAAGCAGAAAGAACAGGATGACTGAGCTTTTAGATTAAAACTACCGGGGCGTCTGAAATTTCTTATGGCTGGCGATGGAAGTAACAGTTTCCATAATATGGCCAAGTGATCAGATGCATGCTGTTTAGGTAAGAGAGAGACCATCTCCTAGTTTTTTGTAATGGGAACGGTACCAGGGCCAGTGGGCTACATTTTTGTTTCCTAGAGGTTTTATTTGATCGTTCTCTTTTGAAATTTTCTTTAAAAAAAGAAGGGAAAAGATAAAAGAAACCCTGATGAACTGAAGCCACAAACATTCAAATTTTACTTGCCCTTGACCTGGAACTTGATTATCTCTAGAATTTCTTACTGTTTCTAATTATTGAGATTTTCCTTAACCTGCCTTAAAATCACAGCATTTTTAGAAGCCAGTGATTTCTGCCACAAAGGAGCAGGAGTAACAACTGCAGAAGCACTGTCTGAGGAGGCTGGCTCTGTGCAGCACATTATAGTATATGAAGAAGGCAGACAGGAGTCTCTGCAGAAAAGACAATTAATAGTGCATATAGTCAGTTAGCATGTTTGCACCTTAGGACTTTATTAATTGCTCAAAAAAATCCCACATGGACCAAAAGTAAACTTTCATTTGTTTAACAACATTTAAAGAAATTTGTTGAATACATT